TTACTTTAGTTAGTTAGTCGTAACTACTTACTACTTACGGTCCGTACGTTATTTACTTTATTAATTAATTAACTATAGTCGAACTAACAACTAGTGTACCGTCCCCTCTCTCTCTCTCTCTCTCTCTCCTCTCTCTCTCTCTCTCTCTCCCTCTCTCTCTCTCTCTCTGTGATTATATTGCACATACACGGTACTTTATTTCAAAAAGATTGATCAGAACTGTAAATTGTGCATATAACCAAATGGTTGGCCGAAGAAAAAATATATGTTATTATGATCTTAATCCAGCTTATGGGGATTCATAATACGGTTTCTATGGTATCAACATCCCGCCTCTTGAATCTTTCTTAAATATGGATTTTGGATCCAAATTTTTATGGATCCATAATCATGAATCTAAGAAAAATAAATTAATAAATAAATAATTTCGAGCTTGAAAATAATCTACTTTGTACTTCTTCTTTGGAACTCCATTTTATCTCTTCAAAGATCATCAAATATGTATCAATTTTTGGAAATTCAAATTCAAAGATCTTATAAGTAAAAAATAAAAATAAAAATAAAAAATAAAAAAAACGAGTATTTACCATGGTTTAGAATGTTTTTCAGGTCAACCTACCGAATACTTTTCTTCTATAAAAAATGGAAAATGGTTTGATAGAGCTGTAACCCTAACAAAATAAGTAAAGCCTCACTTTTTGACTCATTGAAAATTGGAATTCAAGCACTAAAAAACCTTTACATCAATCATCTTACCTTGAACATTATAGTTATAAAAAAAAAAAGATTTCAAGCTCTAAAAATATGGTTATTGTAACAAGGTGCAGTTTGCATACGGATGCATCCGTAGGTGTAGAGGTAATCTGCACCTTCAAATTTTATCATGTTATATAATTTAAATGTAAAATGTTCTTAGGATTATCTCAAAATCTATTTTTATATCTAATTATAAAATTCTAAATTTCAAAAATAGTTAAAATCAAGTAGATCTATAAACATATGAAAATATTGAAAATGGACAGTGTAGATAATATGATGCAAAATGCATTATTTATGAGACTTAAAATCTTTTTATTTTTCATAGTCATACATCTCGATGTCGAGATGATCAATCAAAGGGTTTTCAACATTAAAACTATCTCTTCTGATGGATTTTTTAGGGGCATTTGTAGTTCTACATTATTAGGTAGCATCTTTATATAAACTTTTTCCTTGTAACAAATTATCTAGACGGTCAATTTTGCCTTAAAAATAAGTGCTCATAGATCCACAAGATCTGTACTATTTTTTTATTATCGAATTTTATTGTCGGTGTTAGAAATTAATTTTAGAGCCATCATGGAGATTTTCATTGCCGAAAATGCTTTTTTGACGAGGATTTAAGGTAAGGCCTTATTTTGTTTTCATAAAATCTAACCTTATAGAAACCTCATCCATAAACAATTTGCCAACCTTAATATTTTAATACTATTGAATTTCTATTAGGAAAATGGTTTGATAGGGTTGTAGCCCTATCACAAGAAGTCAAGTCTCACCTCATAACTCATCAAAAATTGTAATTCAAGTATTAGAAACCTTTACATCAATCATCTTGGCTTGAACATTATGGTTGTAAAAAAAAATTTGGATTTCAAGCTCTAAAAAGAATGTGTATTGTAACAAATTATCTAGATCGTCTATTTCACCCTAAAAATAAGTGTTCATAGATCTGTAGATTTATATCATTTTTGAGTTCCGAATTTTACTATTGGTGTTGGAAATTGATATCATGGAGATATCCATTGTCAAAAGTGCTTTCCGAACTAGGATTTGAGGCGAATCTTTATTTTGCTGTCATAAAACCTAGGCTTTATAGAACCTCATCCTTTCCATTATTTAGGCTTTTGCACTATCCTTCAAAGGGCATCTAAATCAGATCATTAAGTTCCCATGTCATCATTATGAACCCATTTTGGTCAGGTCTCTATATTAATCGGTCCCTGAATTTACTTCATAACTAACATTTGCTTTTGGGTTTGTCAAATCTTTGTGCTGAATGCGTCACACCAACATCATAAGGCCTTTGATTTTCTGTTTTTTCTTTTTCTAATAATTTCTAGTAGATTAAGCGTTTGATTTCATTGTAAATCAGACAAATAGTTCATCCATTTGTCCATTTCCTAACGATCTTGCCCACAGTCAGAAAGGATTGCTTATTTTAGACAGAGAGCTTGACCTCATTGTCTTCATTTGGTTGGGCGAACTTATAGTGAAATTTTCATGCCCAATTGTGCCAAATTGATTATGTGATTCTTGTTGAGCCGATTCGAGAACGCTTTAATTAGATCAGAATCAGGAGCCTGATTAGAAGAACTCCGGAATCGTCCTAATTCCTTACTTCTTTTCTTGAATTTCTTTGTCCGACTTTGGGTCCCTCGAGTCAGACTAGGTGAATCATAATCCGTAGTGGGTCTGAGCCCGATTGTGAACTTTGTAACACCATATTGAATTCTTGTCCATGCCAGACCCACTTGGCCAATGAAGTTCTAATTTAAATTAGATTGACGCAAACAAACGTAAATATATGACCTCTCCAAAGCACCAAGGGAGAGAATTCAAAGTGTCAATCTAGAAAATAAAAACAATCAAAAGCATGAAGCTAGCAAGCTGACATACATTATTATTGAGGATTGTCTACAAAAATATTTTTTATTTTTTGTACATGGAGGTCACAATCATTCTCGTTTTTTAAATTTCTAAACGTGTGATTTTTAAGAGTATCATTGAATAGATAAAGTTTTAAAAAAAAAAAATTCTCAGACTTCTTGACTCATCCCAAAAAACCAGTCCATGTACTGGAAACTCAACAAATCTAACATCTCCACCTTGATAAGATATGAAAAACCCAATCGATTACAATGTCTAAAAATGGTTCATTGTACAAAGCATTATGTGAACTTTCCAATTTAAGTTCCCTTTTTTAGCTCCAAATTCCACAATAAGGGGTAGAAATTGATTTCCAGGCCAACACACTGTTTTTCTTGTGCTGATTATGAGTTTTACCAACAAGTTTTTGAGCTGCAATTCTATGCGACATTACCAAAACCTTACCCATAAGACGAAAATGGGAATTAAAAAAAAAAAACGTGAGATTGCTTCAAAGGTTAACATTACTTGAGATTATGCATGATGACTATTCTTAACAAATGATTTCTAATTAAGGTTATTCTTAACATAAGATCATGTTGCATAATGGTCACCTCAAGAGTTTATTGATATGTTGTAATTGTTGGAGGACTTCCACGTCTTTTCCCCAAGTTAGAGGGGCAGTTATGCATATCAAAATATTGACTTGGAGACAAAAGTGAATGAGTTGGTTTGTGAGATAGACTCAATATGAGAGTGGATAGAGATTTTAGGAAGTAAAATCTCTTCCTATATAAAAGCCTTATGTTGAGGCCTATGGTTGTATCGATAGATACAAAGAGCCTTCTCTTAGAAAGAAGAAGGAGAAGAGAAAGAGGTGCCCTTAGAAAAAGAAGAGAGAGAGGGATAAGCATGTTAGAGAAAAGGAAGAAAGCTTTTAAGAGAAAACCTGAGAGAAAGGAAATCCTCGACAGAGAAAATCCTCTATAAGAAATCTTTGGATGATTTTATAACCATTATTTTTAAGGGATTGTATAAAATGAGACCATTTCCTTTCGAGGTTGCAATTACATAAAACCATTCGATATGAAATTTGATTGTTTGGATGTCTCACGAAGTTCGAGGAAAGTTATTTTGAAGTTTGAGCTTATACAATACAATAAATATAACCAATTAATTTCACATCCAATGGTCAAGATTAATTGTGACTAACTTTTACATTGTACCATAGTTAAATGATCTCATTATATACTTTTCCTATTTTTAATAGTGCATTTGATATTTTTCTTGTGGACGTAATTTAAAAAAGTTAACCACCTAAATTTAGTCTCAGTATTTATTTGATTTATTGCTTGTTTTATTTTCGCTCATACACACGCACATTTTGGTGTATTTTTTTTATGTATCTAGGCTCCGTTGCAGACATCTGCAGTTTTAGGAGAACGCTCGATCGAGTGAGCTCAACAGTAATCACCAAGAGTGTCACATACTAATTGCTGATTGGCGTTTATCTGATGAAATGATAGGCATTGATGGGGAGGAAGTGGGACCTACCAGATAAAGGAAGAACTCAAATGGTAGGCCCCTCTCTCCATCACCATCTATCATTTCATTAGATGGCGAATGGCGACAGTAATGCTAATGGAATATCATTCATATCGCAACTTTCCTGTGATATTTCCCATGCAAGGGGATGTAAATTTTTTAATATATTTTTTCTACTGATCTCATCAACTTCTTATTTGTAGGTAAATACATCATGTCACCTTTTTGGAATCAATTTCTTTGTCCTAAGTAGAGATTACTGCATCCTTCAGTAACTAACACTAGAGACTTTTATGGTCTCTAATGAGAAGGGAACACTGTCATATCCCAATCCCATAAAAAATTGAATGCAATGGATTTGAAAATTGAATTTTTTTCATATTTTTTTTTAGAATTGATGTCTCCACTGATGATTATATGAGGCATTCCGTAGCATCTAAGTGTAAGGGGAGAATGAGTATGCATGGCCATCAAATCAAAACGGGGAGTTTCATCAAAGATTGTAAATGTCGCAGGAAAACATAAAGCATGTTGAGTTTGAGAATAAACAATTATGAAACAAGCAAGCTTGATGAATATCTTTTACTTCCTCGATAAATAAGCATGACCGGTATAATTTTTCTGAAATACGACACTGCAAATATCCACACAATAAGGAAACTTACAATTCTACATTTGAAGAAAGTAACCCTCTAAATGATCAGAAACAGAAAATAAATCCAAGAGAGGGCTGATCTATGTGGAGGGAAATTGCACCATAGTCCAATCGGCTACGATATATGGTACTTAGTATGCTGCCACAAACTCTTCCCAGAAAACTCTATTTGGTTTGTAGATACAAAACTTCTGAGGAGAACAAAGCAAACGTCAGTGCAAACTTAGAGAAACAAGATTCATATTTCGGTCAAAATTTGCTGAGTACATGCCGGCAGAAAAATTTTCTTGGCAACAACTGGTAAGCTTCGCACACTACAAATTTGATTCAGAAAGGCCCACCTGATACTTAATGGGGCGAACATAGGCCAAAATAGTGCAAGAATCTCTTTTGTAGGGATCCATTTGGACTTGCACCATAAGAAGGTTCTAAGATAAGAACACTTCTTTCTCATAAAATAACTTCCCCCATAAAACAGCAGTATGAATCTTTTCCAAGAACTTCACTTTTCACAACTGATGACATGGATCATGTAAAATTTATAAGAGCCCTACCACATAGAGGGGACATATACCTGTTCCTTCAAATTTTGGGTAGCACTCTCAGTTGGAAACCCTCTCACTGCACCAATAGTCCACTGCGATATGATCCCAGCTGCAATGGCAAAGCGAAGTTGTCTCTCTAAAATGTCTTGGTTCTCATACATCTCAGGATGTGTGGTAAGTTTTCTCATTATACCAGCAACAACAGCATCACCTGAACCCGTTCTATCACAAGTAAATGGGGTGAGGAGCACATCTTCAGTCCCAATAACTGCCCCATCAAAAGATGGTGTATAGTAATGTATTCGAAAAGTCCCATCAGTCACAAACAAGATTTTGATGTTATCATGCCACAGTGGGGCTATCTCCTCTCGAGTGTAGTGGTAATGGTTACGCTGTTTCCTCGTTTGCTGATAGGACTCGGCATAATATTGGGGCTTATATTCTCTTTTCCTCTCGTAATAATCTTCATCAAGCAAGAATTCTAGTTCTTGCTTTGTTAGCTCAATGATGTTTGCTTGGTTCCATGCTTCTTGAATAGCTTTTCTTGTCTCATCACGGGACCTCCAGAGAGGCAATGGCAAGTTCAGATCAAAAAATATGAGGCCGCCATATTTCTTTGAGAGTTGTATTGCTCTGAATAGAGCAGAATGCATAGATGGTGAGGTGAGAACTTCAGCATTAAAATGGAATATCTTTGCCTGCAAGATTTTGGGCAAGTAAAGATTGAAAGAAATTAGCTACAGTGTCTTTTGACAGCTTCACTTGAAATATGGACGAGGAATAAATGGTGAGATGAGAACTTCCAAAAGAATGGAATATCTTCACCCAGAATAAAAAGATCGACCTACTAAGAGAAGGCATATGACTTCATGAAAGAACTCAATCATAATCAAGTAAGAAGTTTTATATTTGATACATTTCTATCAATCACATCTTAAAACCATAAATATATAAACTCAGAAACACATAACAGGTTTTGAGAGCAGAATATTTTGGTCTAGCACTTTTTACTAGCGGACATCTTCACAAGGTGAATTGAGTAATTTTATCATTCAAGGACCAACATTCAAATACCTTGGATGATTGAATGTGTTTCATGTGTATAGATGTTAACTATTTTGTCTTTCTTAAGTGAGTGTTCTCGCATTTGTAAATACAGAGGCCCACATAAATAAGACTTCAATAATCAAGATCAATAGTTGGGTTCTTCCGTAATCCCTAGTTACAAATATAACAAGTTGCTCACTTCTATCAGTAGAGGCGGTTACCATATAACAAGAGCCAGGTACTTTTCAGCTTTTATTCTAAGTGAAATTGTTTTGAGGAAATCTGAGAGAGTCAGGGGATTCTTCCTCAAATTCTCATCCTAAATGGACCTTGCAATCGGAGGAGTAATTTTGCCAACGTTTTATCTGCAAATGCCTCAAACCTATGTTAGAGGAGACGAAAAGGCTATCTATGAAGGGAGCCATGTTCCACATAATATGGTCTAAATTAGGCTATGGTATAGTGTACAATTGTCCACAACTTCACCTACAAAATAATACATATAATAAACATAAAGGAAAGGAATGAATACCCTAACCCAATGGATTATGATAAATTATAGGCCATTGCTGTCACACATCAAATGAAATGGACAGTAATGGAGATGGCAAGGTCAGCATTGGGGTTATTTCCTATTGCAATGAATCCCACTCAATGTCATCATACATCATTTCATTGGTCAGCAATAACTTCTATGAAAAATGGTTTCCATGATCTATTGCCCATTGATTTGCGTTATACCTTGTCATAGGACTACAAGCCCCACTGCTTACCTCTTTCAGCACAGCAATGTCCACTTCTGAGCTACATAATGAATCCTCAGCGCACTCCTTCACCGGCTCTAAACTCAGCTTCCCATCCTTACAAACAATCTTCATATATGAAAGTGCAGTCTTAACCGATGGATCAATCTTCGTCCCACGAGTCTGAACCTTTTCTTTATTCAAGGTGTAAACCAACTCATCCCCATAGTCATCCCCTCCGACCTTTCCCATAAAAGCAGCTCGCCCACCTAACCGAACATGCGATATGGCCACATTAAATGGAGGCCCCCCAGGTGCCCTAGTAAATTCAGGTGGGCTCCATTGCAAACCCTTCCACGTCGAGTAGATGTCAGGGTGCATTTGCCTCTCTGCAACTCTAACAGTAGGGAGAAACTCTCTTTGGGCTGCTCCAAAACAACAGATTAGTGGAGGCCATTCATAAGGGAAATCCATTGGGTCTTCATCATCACCATCTCCTTCTTCTTCATATTCTTGTATTTTTTTTGAGCCTTCTGGTTCTTGCACAGGTTCAGTCTTTTTTGAACGCCTAGCCTTTTTTGGGGATGGAGAAGAAGATGGATCTTTTTTTCGAGTACGACGGGTAGTTGTGGATGTCATGAGTGTCTCTGGTTCTAGAGAGTGCGGTGAATCTGATTCACTATCAGTTTCCATATCTGGTAATTTCAAGAGATCATATAAAGTCATGTTCTCCATTACATGTGATTCAGATGTCCTAACAATATCCATTTTTTGGAATTTTGATGAACTTGATGCCTCAACACTGTCCTTTTCAAGTAATTTAAATGCATTTGATTCCCTAGTAGTCCTTTTCTCGGGAATTTTTGATGCTCGTGACACTTTCGAAGCACTTGCTTTCTTTCTCTTTGACACTGTACTGGTATCCATTTCTGGTAATTCAGATAAATTTGAAGCCTTAGGAGCCTCCATTTTCTGTACATTTGGGGCATTTGATGTGCTAAAAAACTCATTCGTCCATGGCTTCGACACATTCAAGGATCTAACCATCGCTGTTCTAGGCAATTGCAACACACTAGATTTCATAAATACTTCATTTCTAGGTAAATTCAGTGCACGTGATGCCCTTAGGTCATCTATTGACGGAAGTTTCACAACTCTACAGGGACTTACAGTTTCCATTTTCAGTGAATTCAAAGCATTTGAAGCACGAACAGAGCTAACTTTCAGTGACTTCCCTAGAATTTCATGGCAAGGAGGGCACCTCAAGAACATTACAGAAAGAGGAGAGGGTACCTGATAAGAATGTTGCAGATATACTGGAGAAGCCATTAGAGAAAGAGAAAACTTATAAATAAGACCTAATCCAGGAAAGCACGCCTGAGATGAAAAACTTTCAGAATCATTGCCAAAGCCATTAGAGCAAGAGAAAAACTCACATAGGAAACCCTAATAATAGTTGAAAGCAACTCATATTAATGTGTAGAAGAATTGAAGGAGCAATTAAAGTTGCAGAGAATCAACGAAGAAAAAGCCTAATCAGTGAGGCATGGCAATGGAGCTCGAAGCTTCACTGAATGAGCTTCTCATGCGGAGCGTCCTAAAAGACCATTTTTCGTTATCTAAAGGGAAGGTGCTATTTAGGGCGAGTCCTACTAGGTAATAGCGAAATTACCCTTATTATTTTGAAAAAATAGGGCAAAAAGCTAGTTAGCACATTTGGCATCCTCTCGTGTCATTAGGTGTGAAAATACTTTTATACTCATTAGTTATTGATTCGTGATTGCTAAAAATATTTTATACTCATTAGTTATCGATTGGTGATTGCTGAGATGGCGTGACCGATTGATGTGAAAATATTTCCCCATTTAATCATGTGAGAAAACTTTTGTACTTCAAAATATTTTCACACTAACCAAATGTGTACGATATATTCCCCAACATCATAATACAAAGCAACCTTGCAGTTCAAAGAAAGCCCATTGACTCCATCGGACCCTATATTTATTTTTTAATTTTTTATTTTTTTTTTTTGTAAGGCAAAAAAAAAAAAAAAAAAGGACCTCAAGCCTCCTAAGCACCTGTTTCATTATTTAACTTTTAAGAGTGAGGTTTGTATAAGGTTACCTCCTTGCAATGGAGAAGTAAGATACCATCTCTAAAATTTGCTTAGAGATGTCATTCCAGTGCCAAACTTTAGGATTGCATGAAAATCTATCTTCATATCTATTTATAAAATAAAAATTTTCAAAAAATAGTACACATCAAACATATCAATAAACTTTTGAAAATCTTGAAAATAAAAATTTAGATAACTTGTTAAAAAATACATTATTTTTTGAACTTGGAATTCTTGCTTTTCTACATGTACATACATCTTGAAGTTGAGATGATGAATTATAGGTTTCTTGAACATCAAAACACTCTTCCGTTGGATTTTTTAGGTGTACCTCACTTCAATAGTATAAAGTTGCAATATATAAACCTTTTCTAAATTATAATATGCCTTTGTTTTTTCCAATGACTCATACATAAAAACCCTAGAAAAACTGCTTTCTCTCTGTATGTTCCTCACTCGTGAACCTCTTCCCCTATCTCTCTCTCAACCTCATTTGAACCCTCATATCTCTCTCACATCACCTAAATCTCATAAGTAGGTTAAAAGTGGCATCTCATTTTCTATTTAAACATGCGTGTATACAAAAATAGTAAAAATGTAAATGTTGTAATTTGGACAAGATGAGGGGATAAAACGTTATTTTCTTTTAATTTAGAGAGGACAATAGGATTTACATCAACAAGGAGTCATTTGAGATTATAATTTTAAAGAGGTCTTTTTGCCCTTAAAAATATGGTATGATTCATATAATCACGATAACAAGCTTGCATGTGGGTTATCCCCTATCCAATCAAATAGCTGGAAGTTGAGCATTCCCCTCCATAAACCGAGAGGACGTACAGATGTTAAGAGGGTGAGCATTCAAAAAGTAATATGAATAAGTAATAGAACAATTGTTTCATGCAGGCTGCACCGCATATATGCTACAACATGCAATCTGAAGGTATAAATCATTCATCTTTGCAAATGGGTGGTCCGACTAAACACAACTGAAACTAGATGTTTTCTTATCAAAATTGTTATTGCTAGTTTTGAAATTTTATTTATTTTTTTATATTCATGATCTCCATGTTAAATATTCTATATTCTCCAAAAATTAAGATCAAATTATATCTAACATATATATTAATTGCCAAGCCCGCATTTCTACATGCACGGGCTTGGCCGCATGCTAACTGCATCTTAAGTAAAAATATAGTCATCGTCTATTCTAGTTGGGCCGCAACAACTTTCTAATTTTTTAGTGAAACTCATCTCCAATGTTGGAAACAGGCACTCAGCCCATGCTTGATCTGAGTACTCGGACCGAGTCCAAGTAACTCGGCCAGTAGTGCCAAATCTTGTAGCAAAACAAAAGGTTGAAAATTTATTAAAAAATTAAAAAAAATAGAAAATGTATGTTTAAAGTAAAATTAATAACATACATAAAAATAAGGTTAAAAAACAGTAAAAACAATTGATTTTAAAAAAATCAACTTGTCGCTAGGGGTACTTTAGAATTATCCAAAAAAACAGAAAATTTAAAAATAACCATTTATAGCCAAAACACTTTCCAACCTTTGTCAAAATGATAGAAAACAAAAACAAAAATAAAAATATTATCCAACATAAGTTACTTATTTTTTATATTTTTTCAACTAGGACCCCAGCCCAAGTAAGTTAGCCGAATAGAAACTACTCGCCCTATTATTAAATCACTGCCGATCTCAAAACTTCATTGAAAAATGCAATTTTAGTTCCTGAAAACCCTTGAGCCTAGACATCTCGTTCTCACAGTGGGGCGGTCCTACCAAACATGTCATTAACCATTACACAAGGAAGAACTAAAAAAAGTTCCTTAAGATTTCACAGCTGCATGAGGCAGCACCTTCCACAAACATTTTGGACATGGATTGAGGATCTGAAACACATCTTGCTTCCATATCCATTTTCCACCCCTAATCGTGGAATTCATATTTTTTAATCTGAGGAACATATACAAAGACTTGAAATCAACAATCCAAAGGAGGTTGTGCAAGATGATTTTTTATTATTTTTTGTGACAAAAGCAAGATGAACAATTAAAAAAAACCAAAGAAAAATGAACTATTTTTTAGGCTTAAAATTGTTTTCTTTCGAGTCCATGGTTATAGAGATGGGATGGGAGAGAGATTCTAAAGTAAAACAATCTTAGCAGAGAGAGAGAGAGAGATAGAGAGAGAGAGAGACTCAAATGTAAAACAATCTTAGCTTGGTAATAAAAGGCATCACCAGTTCCTCTTTCCAAAACAGCACTTCTACAAGGCATACATAACTCTATTACATTTACATGGAAGCCATGTGAGCTTAACAATTAAACACAACAAAGCCTTCCACAAAATCAACAACCACCAATGTATCCTCTTAGAATTGGCAACAAATTCTCCACAAGTTCACAAAAGAATCACCAGAATTCTTGAAATTTTAGTTCTTTCCTTATTTTCCTTTTTCGTTTTCAATAGTTCAACGATAGGATTCATACTTGGGATGCAGTAATGCAAGAGTCAATAGCTCAAGCTCAAAGCCAGACACTACAAGTTTTGATTCTCTGTTAGGAAACAAACCTGCTTTGCTGCCATTGAAACTTCTAAGGATGTTCTATCCATATACCGATCACTGCAAGGTCTGATTTTCAGATAATGGCATTCTGCAACAATAGACAAGCATTTCAATGCATTGGTGTCATAGCCAGCAAAACTTACGTACACAACTCCTAAAGACCATGTTCTTGCTTTGTATGGCTGTGCAGACCTTGAAAGCAAAGCCACAGGGGGCTCTCTCTCCTCATTCACTTGATGCTCTGAGAATACTTGCGAGAGAGAGAGAGAGAGAGAGAG